CTGGGGTCCTGGTCTGGGGTCCTGGTCTGGGGGTCCTGGCCTGGGGTCCTGATCTGGGGTCCTGGTCTGGGGTCCTGGTCTGGGGGTCCTGGCCTGGGACCACCCTTGGCCCCAGACAGGTGCCAAGCACCAGAGCGGGGAAGCCCCCATCCACCATTCTTGCTCTGCTCACAGATGGGGCCCATGGGAAGGGGACAGAGGCAGGAGGGGAGCCAGGCCAGAAGCAGGACAGGACGAGGCCACGGAGGACACAGGAGGCCAGCAACAGGAAGCAGTGGGAAGGAGGGGCAGGAGAAGAGTGGACAGGCTGGGGAGGGGGGGCTGGCACGTGGGCTCCAGGCAGGGGAGGGCCCAGGGTGAAGGGGCCTCCAGCATGGGGCCACGAGGGGCAGGGTGCAGGGACCCTTGGTGGGGAGTGGGGGCGGCGGTCACTCTGCACACTGGGTGGCCGCAGGGCTCGAGGGCCTCATCCCGTCACAGTCCCAGACAGAACGAGAACCACACACATCTGCTGCCCCATGCATGTCCTACCTGGAGGCCCCGTAGGTTTGACTTTGCGAGCTTTCAAGTGTTTACACACACACACAAAGGGAAAAGAACAAAAAATTTCAAAAAGAACGGGATAAGAAAAAGAAAATGAAACAAATAGTCAAGGAGAGGAGGGGAACAACAGAACAAAGAAAATTAGCGCAAGGGCCGGTTCTGCCCTGCGGGGGCTGGAGGGGCACTCTGCAAGCACAGGGGCACAGGCCACATCCCAGGACAGGCGGGCTTCCAGGAGGCGCGGGGGGAAGGGTCGGGACGACTGCAAACACAGAGGGCCGCCAAGGGCTCTGGCACCCTCCTCCCAGGTGACACCCTGAAAGGCAGCTTGCAGCTGAGGATGGCCAAGGGCCTATCCACCCTCTCCAACTCAGGAGCCTCAAGAGGACCCCGGGCCCCGCCCCAAGCCAAGAAGTCCCAGCCAAGCTGTGCACCCACCCCACCCTCAGGGAAGGCTCCAGGGGACAGACACCCCCTAGGAGTGGGGGGGCACCTGAGCTGGTAAGTCCCCAGGCTCCGTTCCCCACCTCACAGCAGAGGGCAGGCTGGCAGGGTGGGGCGCACCCAGATGGACTGAGGGGTCAGGCCCGCGTGCACTGGGTGAAAAGCGCTCAGAATCCCTCATCTCAGACCTTAATTTAAGCATGAGCCCGGCAGGGACTATCCTCACTGGCTGCCACCTACCCTTGTGAAAGAGAAACACAGGAGCCGCCCTCCGCCTAGAGGGTCACCGGACCTGCTGGCACTGCCCCCCGGGGCCATGGACTGGCACTTTCTAGGCTCCTTATCTGCTGCCCGAGGGGCTCCAAGGGTGTCTGTGTGCTCTGTGCTGTTGGTGGGCACCTGGGACCCCCAGGATAATTCGGGTCTCCTGGTCTGAAAGCCTCGCTGTGAGCCAGGGTCGCTTTCCCGCCCCTCCACCCCACGCAGGACCCTGGTCTTTGCTGGGGGACGGGGTCGCTTTCCCGCCCCTCCACCCCACGCAGGACCCTGGTCTTTGCTGGGGGACGGGGTTGGTGCTGGCTCCACTCATGAAGCCTGGGCACCTGGAGCTGCAGGAAGATCTGGAGCCGCCTGGGGGGCATTCACCGCGAGCCCCCTGGGGAGGGGCGTCCTCGCAAGGCACACAAACAGCACGACCACAGCAGGACACCAAAGCAAAGGGCGGGGAAATGAAGGTGAAAACAGCCGCAGCTGAACTCAGGGCAGAACCAACGCCTTGAAATAAACCACACACAGAACTCCTTTGTGAAGAACACGTACATTTTAAAGAAAAAAAATCAAAACAATGAACAACAAAAACGGGGTTTTAAGAACAAATGGAAAATGAAAACGGAAGGGATGCTGGTGGCGGTGTGCGTCGGCGGCGGTACCTGTACATGGGCACAGTGACGGTGCGCTCGTAGTACTGCCACGTGGAGCGCAGGTCCGTGCGCGAGAGGTTGGTGGCGTAGAATCTCCAGGCCGACTGCAGAGGGAGAGACAGGCGGGCGGTCGGCTGGGCTGGCAGCCAGGGCACGCCCAGGAGGGCCGGGTGCAGAGGGGACCTGGGACCCCCATGCTGTGAGCCGGGCACGTGGGACTCTCGGCCAGCAGCCCGGCCCCAGTGCTGCATCCGTCCCCACAGCCTCAGTTTACCCTCTGCAGGACAGACAGGGGAAGAAGGGGAGCAGCCGGGGCCTGACTCGGGGCCCACAGGAGCTCACAGGGAGGCCATGCTCTGTTCTGTTCATGCCTCTCACCTGGCCCCTGGCAGGTATCACCTGTCATGGGGGTTACCTTCTGCCCGGCAGGGCCAGGGACCCCAGCCGCCATCCTCCCAGGGTGGTAGCCCAGCCCAGGGGGGCTTCCCCAGCAGGGGGTGGGCACTCGGCCAGCGCGGGCAGGAGCCTGCGGGTTGGACTGAACCCACCTGGCCAGATCTCCGCTTCTCTGTGCCTTTGCTTTGTTTTGCAGTGCTGAAATACGTATATCTCATACCATAAAGCTCGCGGGGTTAGCCATCTTGAGGTGCGCATTTCAGCAGCCCCTGTACTCACCGTGCTGTGAGACCACTATCACTACTGAACTCGGCAACCTCTTCACCGCCCCCGAAGAAGCCCCCTACCGTCAGACACACTAAGCAGGCACTCCTGGCCCCGGCCCCCCAAGGCCCTGGCCACTGCCAGGTGCTTGCTGGGGTCTCCACGGACTCCCCCTCCACCGAGTGTGTCCTGGCGTGTCAGCGCCCGCTCCTCCTCGTAGGAGGCTTGTATGGGGGAATCACGCTCTGTTCATCCATTAATGAGCGTTTCGGCTGTTTCTACGCTTTGGCTCCTGTGAGTGCTGCTGCTGTGAAACACGTGTGCACGTTTTTGGTTGAAGATCTGTTTTCAATTATTTTGTGTCTACACCTCGAGGTAGAATTGCTAGGTCACGTGATAACCCCACGTTTATCGACTATTTGAGAATCAATCAAACTGGTTTCCACGGTAGCTGCATCGTTACATTCCTACCAGCAAGGGGTCCCCATTTCTCCACATCCTCACCGACACTGATTTTCCATTTGGCAAACTGTTAGCCACCCCGGCCCGGCCTGGCCCGGAGGCTCATGCCAGCAATCCCAACACCTTGGAGGCTGAGGCAGGTGGATCGCCTGAGCCCAGGAGTTCAATACCAGCCTGGGAAGCATGGCAAAACCCTGCAAATAAAATAAAATAACATAAAATAAATAATAAATAAAATAAATTAACTAAAAAATAAATAAAATAAAATAAAAATTAGCCGGGTATGGTAGTGCACACCTGTAGTCCCAGCTACTCAGGAGGCTAAGCGGGAGGATCGCTTAAACCCGGGACGTGGAGGCTGCAGTGAGCCACGATCACGCCACTGCAATCCAGCGTGGGCGACAGAGCAAGACCCTGTCTCAAAAAAAAAAAAAAACAAAACTTGGCCATCCTAACACATGTGAAGTGGCGTCTCTCTGTGGCTTTGATTTGCACTTCCCTGACACCCGCCAGCACTGGGCGGTCTCTTCAGGAGCTTAGTGGCCACTCCGAGTGTCCTCTTTGGAGGACGTCTGGGCTAACCCTTTGCCCGCGGTCCGTAGGGCTGTCTTTCTGTTACTGAGTTGTGAGAGTTCTTAATATGTTCTGAATACTAACCCTTATCACAGACACACTTCGCAGCATTCTTCCCCATTCTGTGGGTTGTCCTTTTGCTGTTATATATTTTTTAAAATCCAGATCACGGAGATTTATGCCTGTGTGTTCTTCTGAGGATTTTTATAATTTTAGTTAATTTTTGTTAATTTTTGTACATGATATGAGAGTCAAACTTCATTCTTTAAAGAACAGACACCTGATTGACCCAGCACCACTGGTTGAAGAGACTATTCTTTCTCCACTGGACCTGGCACCCTTGAAAACTGACCTCAGATGCATGGACGTAATTCTGACTCTCAATTCCATCCCCTTGCCCTGTATGTCTGCCTTATGCAAATGGCACACTGTTTTGATTACTGTTGCTTTGTAGTAAGTTTCAAATCGGAAAGTGTTAGTCCTACAACTTTGTTCTTCCCTTTCAAGGCCGTTTTGGCCAATTGTTTAGGTCCGTTACAATTCCATATGAATCTTAGGATCAGCCTTTCCACTTCTGCAAAACAAAGAAAAGGTGGGGGGACATTGGAATTACAGTAAGAATTGCACCGACTCTGTAGATCCATTTGCATTGTATTAAATACGTCGCTCCAATTTTGTTAAGATGATATTAATAAAATTAAGCCTTCCAATCCATGGAAACAGGGCGTCTTTCCACTTTAGGTCTTTGTTATCATAATTTTCTTTTTTGAAACAGAGTCTCGCTCTGTCACCCAGACTGGGGCATGGAGGTGCGATCTCGGCTCACGGCAACCTCTGGCTGTTCTCCCACCTCAGCCTCCCAAGTAGCTGGGACTACAAGCACGTGCTGCCACACCCAGCTAATTTTTTATTTTGTTTTGTTTTAAGACAGAGTCTCGCTCTGTCCCCCAGGGTGGAGTGCAATGGCGAGATCTCGGCTCACTACAACCTCCGCCTCCCAAGCAAATCTCCTGCCTCAGCCTCTCCAGGAGCTGGGATTACAGGTGCGAACCAGCATGCCCAGCTAATTTTTG